ATAGTAAATCTCCAAACCCAAAGCCGACGTTTTGAGTCAGAAAGACTACATTAAGTAGAAAGTTGGCACGACTTTAACAATGTAGCCACGATTTGAGGTCTTACTGACTGGTGATGCAGCCGTACATGCATCATCTATAAGGCAAAAGACTATTTTGAGGACGAGTTCACCCGTAGTCTTTTGAAAGTGTTTTGCAGACTGAAGAGGAGACTTGTGTCTGAGCGAGAAAAATGAAAAGTGAATTCAAAATCTAAGTTCGTTGCCTACTCTAAGTCCGGTTACAAACTGGTATTACCTGACGACAGTCTGACTCTAAACTGGCTAGTGGATTTTTATCTACAAGCATCCAAACATATGATTTCTGCAAAGCACAATCTATTTGTCTTCCGCACAATTCTGGGTAAGGACACGTGGAGGTCCTCCACTTGTACTATACAACACGGCCTTTGCGTTTCCACTTATTGACTATCATCAACACTCCCCCGCTACACGAAGGTTGGGATGGTTGTCGTGGCTAACAGTTGTGCAGGAACTTCTTCGTCAGAATCGGCTTGGTCAGGAAATAGGCGAGCTGGTACTTGGATTCGATGTATTGTAGGTCGACCGACTTTGCCTTGAGTTAGTCAAGGACGAAGTGGTACTGAATATCGATGTCTTTTGCTCGACTGTGATATTCGTCATTTTTGGCGTTAGCAAGTGCGCTTTGGTTGTCTTCGTGCACAACGGCTGAATAATCGATCATTATCTTCATTTCAGACATTGAATTCTTTGTCCAAAGCGCTTCGTGGATGCATAGTGATAGAGCCACGTATACGGCTTCAGCAGTGCTCAGTACCACACCTTGTTGTAGTTTTGACTTGAATATCACTGGGAACTTTTTGATCATGATCGTGATGCCTGATGTCGAACGACGGTTGTTCTTGTTACTTGCCCAGTCGGAATCCGTGTATGCACTTGGTTCGAGTTTTCCAGGAAGACCTTGATAGCAGATTTTTTTCGTCGCAGTTGACTTGAATTATCGCAGCACACGAATCGAGGCACTCCAATGTTCTTCCCTTGGGTGTTCCAGATGTCGACTTAGCCGGCATACCGATAATGCAATGTCGGGTCTGGTTCCACTCGCCACATATAGGATTGATTCGACAAGAGATCGATACGGACGGTGTTCCATGCTTGGATCACCCTACTTGCACTTGGTCAAAAATTAGCCCGTCAAACTTGGGTTCTTAACTGACTTGACATTGACTTGATTGAACTTCGCCACCATTCTGGCAATTTATGCACTTTGACTTATTTCCAGCTTCTTCCTCTGCTGCTTGTACTCGACTTCTATGCCAACAATAATGCGAACGCTCCCCAATATCTTGAGTTTGAAATGACTAATGAGTTAATCCGTAACAGTCTTGATCAGATCAATCGACTTTAATCAGAATGTCATCATCTTACAGAGTGATGTACACCCACGATTTTCCATTTTGGCGAACAAAAATGCACGTGTCCAAAATACATGCCGTAAAACCATATCGATAAACACATTTTAGATCGTCTTGAACCGGGTCGCTGTAGCTTGTTTCAATCTAAATAACGTTCTATTCAGCTTAAAGACTTGGTTTGACTTTGTTTCGACACCTTGGGGTGGATAGATGTACACTTCTTCTTCGAGGAATCCGTTAGGGAATGCATTGTCAGCATCGTTCTGGCGAGTGGATAGACCAAAATGGCAACATATTACCAGGAAGAAATAAATCAAGCTCAAATTTGCCCTGGAGAGTACGTTTCCGAGTAGTCCACACCAAAGGTTTCGCGATAACCCTGTGCCACAACTCGAGCCTTGTAACGCTCAATTACACCATGCTAATTGTACTTAATCGCAAACATCCACTTCGTTCTTGACTTGGTTTCTGTTGCACCGCTGACCATGTCCTCTTTTCTTCCATCGCTTTGCATCATGCCACATCTTGGACTAGGGTGACCTTAATCATCTTGATACGTCGATGGAGTTTCGAGGGTTGCATTCGATTGTTCATATTCGAGACGATAGCGCTTCGGAGCAAGTTCCACTTTTCTTCGTTTGTCTGTGGAATGATTGCGTTGGACGTTTGGACTGGAACCAATGTTTGAGAATTCTGACTCGGTGGTAATGCAATCGGTGCAATGTGTTCACCGCTTTGAGGCGATCGGAACACTGGATCGCTTTCAATCTCCACAATTGCTAAATTCGGTTTCACCTCGTCTTCATCCGATTCCATATAGGCATCATCAATATCAAATAGCGGGTCGGACTCATACACGGATCTTTGGGAGGCTGTAACTAGTGTCATACATGAACCGCTTGGAGGCACGTTGGTTGTATCGGTCCCAGTCTGGTCGACTATCATTGGTTCGATATTGCTGCGAGTCGATACCACAGGCTCTTGTAGATAATCTTCTTCATCATCATTATCTTGCATACGTTGAGAACCTTGATCACCACTTATGACTTGCACGTACTTCGATCTTGGTAGTTCTTGAAACACAGCTGAGCGCGTTATCTCCACTTGCTTCAGCTGAAAGTTCCATACACGATATTCTTTTACTTGATCAGAATATCCCAAGAACACACACTTGTATGCTTTCTTGTTAAACTTGACATGCTAAACCTTCTCAATATGTCCATAGCCAAGAGTACGAAAACTCGCGTGTGTAAGAGGTTAGGTCTTTTACCGAGACATACTTCAAACGAGGTTTTTTTCGTGTGGGCGGCACACGGAACTCATTTGGTCAAATATACTGCAGTGTTCGTAGCTTCGGCGCACCACTTCCGTCCAACTTGCATATAGCTTAGCATCGATCTTGCTCGCTCCGTGATTTCTGTTCATCCGCCCTGCCATCCCGTTTTCCGATGCTTGGCGAATGATACCGGCTTTTTGACAAACTTCAGCAAAACGTTTGTTGATTTGTTGACACCATTGTCTGTGCGAATACAATTGATCTTGGCACTCAGTTGGTTGTCCATCTTTAATTTGCACTCGATAAATTGATCCACCACTTCCGATTTGTGGGCAATTTAGTACACCGTAACGAATCTCGAAAAATCGTTGATAAACGTAACGATGAACCTATTTCCACCTTGAGATCTGGTCTACATCGGACCCGTCATGTCGCTGAGAATGAGTTAGAGCACTAAAGCCGGTCTTCACTTTACCGTAGCTTGACTTTCGGAACGGCTTTACCGACGATTTACCATTCGCACATTTCTTACAGATGTAAACCTCTTCGTCATTTTCGATGACAGTCGATTCCTTCATCTTGAAACAATTAGCGCACCCGTCGAGTCTTCATTGACTTTATAGGCAAATGTCCCAATAGGGCATGCCACATACTAAACTAAGTAGTTTGGTTTTCTGACCCACCTCTTGGCTGATGTTAGCAGATTCCACTGGATTACATAAATAGCTTGCCCTTATGGGTCACACAAGTCACAACTTCTTTTTGATACTTGATTTTACACAATGCTTTGCCGAATGTCACATGCTGGGATCGAAAGAAATCTTTGATGAAATCTGGGACGTAAAGCACATCTTCGATCTGAATTGGCTTCTTGTTCATTGGCATAACTCGGATCGTTCCAATTCTAGCAGCCAAAACTTTGCCCCCTTTTTGCAACCGAAATGACAATTGGCTTGTCGAGTTGGCGAATATCATCAAACTCATCTAGAAATGAACACATATGACTGCTTGCACCACTGTCGAGAAGCCATGTTCACATTCCATGGACGCCTGTTCGCCTTGCTTTTTGTTGTCTGAATTCTCCCAGCAGTCTTGCATCCAGTGCCCATATCGATTGCATACGAAGCATTTTTTAGTTAATGTGCCCTTATCCCCTATTGGTCGGGATCCTTTGTTTTTGAAATATCGAGTCGCCTTTAAAGCAATCTCATCACAATTTTTCTGAGTCATGCTTTCCACACTCTCGGCGTAGCGTTTCCTTGGCTTGGAAAAGATCTATGATGGGCATGTTTTTGACGATCGTCACAATTTTTCTGTTAGCCTTTCAAGAAGAATTTCAAGTTGTTCGTCTTGCGAAACTTCTTCACCGATGGCTTGTATATATAGGCATAACTCATCGAACTTGGGAAAGTTATCCATTACACTTACACCCTTTTGCATTTCGAGACCATGCACTTGATGACGCATCTGAATTCGATTGTGGATATATCAAAGAAGGAATTTTTTTTCGAGATCTTCCACAGTTAAGCAGTCGATTGTGCAGTCCTAATTATTGATTGAAAGCTTGGACTGAACATCATCGACAGAATCGCGAAGGCCTTCATATCGTTGGCTTTCCATCCTGACGCCGCAGCGTCATCTTCACCCTGGGCCTTCGTGGTGTCGTTGTGTTCAAGAAGTCCCTTCTTCGCGAGCATCATCCGAGCGTTGAACTCCCACACGAAGTAGTTATTATCGCGAAGTATGGCGTTGGCTTCTGTCGAATTCTGGCTCAAAACCTTTTCAAAGTTTTTCGCAGACTGAAGAGGAGACTTGTGTCTGAGAGAGAAAAATGGAAAGTATATTCAAATCCTTAGCTGGTTACCCACTTTAAATCTGACTACAAACAGGATATTACCTGACGACAGTCTGGCTGAAAACTGGCTACTCGATTTTTATCCACAAGCCTCCAAAAATATGGCTTCTGCGGAGCACCCTTTGTTTGTCTTCCGCACAGTTCTGGGTATGAGACACGTAAAGGTCGTCCGCTTGTACTATACAACACGACGCTTGAGTTTCCACTAATTTTCTATCATCAACATGATCTCGCAAAGCACGGGAAAGTGGTAAAATCAAAACTTGCAAGCATTGCTCCGTTGCTTTTGAAGCTGTTCACCGATAAAGATAATTGGAAATCATTTTTCGGGATGACTCCATCGGGAAAATGGCCTGTGCGTCAGATGATCAAAGCCGTTTAAAAATAGAGCTCTTCTGAATCGGATCAGTCAATCGCCTTTGCCGTAAGCTGTGCTTCACAAAAGACATAAATGCATAAACGAATTTTGTCTGGCCATAAAATGCGACATGGAGGGACTGCCTATTTTATGCCAGTGAGATACTTACAAATGAGTTTGTTCTTGTCGGGTTGTGGGTGCCCACTTGACACTATTATTTTTGTTATCAATATAGATCATGCGTCAAAGCACACATCGACGTTATCACCAATTTTTAAAAATAAAGGCCCTATTCCACCGATATCACTTCGCGGAAGGGTGTCAACCGTGTCCGGTTGGCTTTTTGAGGTGACTAATGCTCTGCAGTGTGGCGTGCCTTGGCTATCGCATGTAACGATACTAAAATTGTGCGTAGATGATGCGCTGCGTAGAGCGTACAAGCCATTTTTTAGGCGGTACTACACTACTTTGATACCGTTTACTCTAAGTGCTCAAAAGTGTATTTGCTCACTATTCATCGCTCTAAGACTTGTTTTTACAATGCGGACCCACTTGACACAGTGCTATGATGGGACCTTAAGTCCAGAATACTGCACGAGGCTCATGGTGCCTCCTTGGTTGGTCTTCTATCAAATAATATAATACTGCTTTATGAGCCCAACATACTTGACCCATCACGTATGATCTGGTAGGAAGCTCGAGTTTACGTAAAACTTTGCAGTGGGGCTGACGTAGCTTTGCGCTTGAGGAAGCGTGATTTAGGTCACCGACCTTTCGTTCTTCACGAGAACCAATACAAGTGTAGCATATCGCAATCCGCTACCTCCAAGAGTTATACCTTAACTAAGGCTAATAGACTCTTCGGTTCAAATACAAAAGTGATTATTGATTTATTTTTATCTGCGGCTAAAACGCCTAATTTTAAATGAATAGATTTCACTAAATATATATAGTAAAATCTAAATACATGCTAACTACTGGCTACCTAGCCACATACCGTATTTTTGTTTGCCTGCAGTAACACAATGCACATCTCGTGTGACACACACCCATGTTACCAGGATATGTGTAACCCCGTTACACCCTCCACCATAAAGATTGAGAACATTTACCGCTCCAATCGATTATTGCCTCAACGAGGCTCGCGTGTCCTCTTGACACTGCAACTAAATTCATTGGAATTAAACGACATCCTTGCTCAATGAGCCCTGTGTTAACGACACGGAAGTCATCAAGTCTCGCTGGTTCTGACAGCGAACACGGGCAGAGCCCAATTTCGTTTCCCGCACGCGGTGCGATGTCGGACAGTGCGTCCGTAGCACCGGGGGATGTACATCCTAGGCTCGATGAGCACGAGCGTCGCGCTTTGCGCTCGCTATCAATGACGAGTGACCTCGTTGAGGATGTGGGCGTGGTCGACTACGAGTCTTACACTCCTTTTCCCGCATGGAATGACGAGGAAGGCGAGCTGCGTCAGCGGCGTGATACGAGCCTTGCTCGTGCCTTGCAGACCCAATGTCCGTTCCCTGACTTCTGGTCAACCGAGGAACGTGGTGTAATCAAAAGTGACCTCGATGGGGCTTAGAGACGGCAGCTTGAGGCTGTCTATATGGCGACTCTGAAGCGCGCCCATCCACAGCCGGTCATTCATCCTCGTGTGGAATATAGCTTACGCCTAGCGGATCTCGCTGAGGAAACGAAGGACGCGATAACTCGATCGTTACGCGTCCACATCATCGGAGAACGGAAGATGAACTTGCCACACGAAAAGCTCTTCAAGCTCATTTCTTGGTCCCACAATTATTTCCGCTGGAAGCTTATCGTACTCGTCTACGTGCTAAACGAGGTGGCTCTCGTATACCCCAATGCGGACAATACCTGTAGTGCTCGCCACCTGGTGCTCTTTGAGCGATGGGTGCAAATGCGCCTGAAACATTTCTCGCTGTGTAACCTACAGTTGAGTCACAAGAAAGTGGACGTGCGTGTGGAACGACACCTCCGATTTGAGTTTGCCAAACTCAAGGCAAGCCGTTGACTTGCTTCGGATTGTCGCCCTGCGACGTATGGGTTAACCCTTAACGCTCCCGCGAGCTCTGTGTCTTCGACCGCA